AAACGTGTTCACGACCCCAAATGTAACATAAGCAAACGCACACACACGCACGCACACACACACACACAAACAAGTGTTCCCAAGCACATTTCTACAAAGATATTTGTACGTACATACAGTGTCATACATACACACTATAGAAATGCCCAACCATACAGTCTGTTGAGCTCTCTTTAAGGGATGACTGAAGACTTGTAGGTGGTCATCTGATCTATAATAACTAATACGGGTTGTCAGGGATTCAGCTTCATTATTCACAATGACACAGCATTGACACATTTTACTTTTTACTCAAAGAGTTAAATTAATCTATTTCCGGTAAAATCATAGAAAACCTGTTTTCTTATTGTAATTTTAGCATGATACTACACTAACGTCCTTCATTCCCTGAGGTGCCTGAGTGCTCTGTTTTAGCTAAAGGGGTGTATGCACTGCATTTTTTATAAAGTTCCCCCCTGCAACATTTATGATTTACCATGAAGGCTTTGAAACAACACATGGCTGCTTCTCCCACCAGCTAATGCTAGCATCTGAAATACGTTGCACATGAGGGTGTCCCGGTATGTTGCGGAACCTGGACCTTGTCGGCACCCTCCCTCCTTCGTCTCTGTCCATCAGTTATGTCACACAGAGAGTAACAGCTCTGTCAATCAAGAGATCTATGCACTTGCTTCCTCTAAATCAGGTGGATTGACTCCTTAAGAGTTACTGGAGAAGCCTACTTCCATTAGCCACTCCCAAAGGCAAATTAACTTAAATGTACCCGCTCAATAAAGTTCAAGACAATCATTTGCATGTCAATGTCCTTTTTTCTCTTTCTCCCTCAAGGCCTTCCCAAACATACAGCTGACTTGTGCAAATCCTGAAATTGAAATTAGATTCTGTTACATTGACAATCAGCTAGAAAGCTAATTGTAAAAAGGAAATGACTTGAAATAAAACTGTTGTACTGCTTGTAGAAAATGTTCACAAAGTTTATCAAAACTTTTTTTTACACAGTGTTGCATCTTAGATATTGCTTTTCTCTTGTTATACATCAAAGGCCTAGCATTCCTTGAAGGAATGCATATTGTTAACCATCTATTACAACAGAATTTCAGGTTGATCATATTGTGATCTCATTCTGATCATATTTTGACAAAGTTGAAGCCATTTTGGTCTAACATTAAAAATACTGATACGTGTAACCTCGTGCAAAATTGCAAGATGCCATGCTCAGAGTATACGTTGATTCTCATCTACTATCACTTCAAACTTTAGCACAAAATCATCCAAATTAAACGTTATAGTCATTTTTGTGTTGGCAAATTTGGATTAACTGTGGCAGCCATCTTTAATTGGATTGGCTTCAAAAGTTAATCCATTATAGATGTACAAACTGTGATTCCTTTGTGAAAGTTTCATTAAAATTTGTTTGATAATCGAGAAATAGAGCCGACTCCAAAACATAATGTTCAAGTTGCAGGCAATGATCTTATGTATTCAGTAGTACAGAGTATGTGTTAGTACTGACTCAATATTATAACCAAATTTTAACTCAATATATGTGAAACGGATTGAATTAGAGCCATTTTTTATTTTGTAAGGTCAGTTGGCTGTGGCAGCCATTTTGATTTAGGTGAGCTCCAAAACTCAAACAACTCTAGAGGTTCATGCGATGATTACTTTTCTGGAAGTTTAATTAAAATCTCTCCAGATGTTCATAAGATATTTTGCTAAGAGAGACATTGACTTTAAACGTTAAAAGAAAAATATATATATTTTGCAGAATCTTTTATTGCAAATTCTGTGTTGAGGGTTCCTTTCAATAAACAAAATACCCATTTTTAGGTAATAAAATAAAATAAAATTCATGGAGTTAAATATTTTTAATTTAAATTTATACATATATATAAATATATATATATATATATATATATATATATAATATATATACACTTTATATAACCATTGGAAGACTATCAACTCATTCAGAGTAATTGTGTTGCATTGTTTTAAAGCCCATGTTCCATAATTTATCTGGACCATTGGCTTTACATTTCTTTATTTTTGTATTACTTCAGAGTTATTCTTCAAATCCTACTACCCATTTGTAATCCTAATCATCCAGCGTTCCAATTTCAGGCTTTAGAGAAAGAATTGTGTTACTGCTGAGCTATACGATGTTAAAGTTATCATGTCACATTACCACACAAATTGGAAAAATGTCCTGAAAACAAAAGCTGCTGCGTGGGTGTCTGTTGATACCAATCACCAGGAGGTGGAGGTCAACATAATTTATAAAGGCATTAAAGCTGTGTGTTCCTACACAAAGACGACCAGGTCAAAGTAAGCTGATGTGTTGTGGATTTTAAATCCCACTGTTTATATGAACAGTAAATTATGAATTAAATCTATCTCTATCTAGTTATGGTAGAACAAGATGAACGTTGATCATCCTCAGTGCTAGGAGTCTGATTATAAACTATTTGGATGATCTCTGGAGGATCTTTTATAAATTGAACTGTGGTCCACTGAACACAGCAGCTTACAGTATATGTGTGGTGGAAACCTGGCACCGAGAACCACAAAACTCATTCTGTCCACAGAGGAACATGGCAATAGCTTCTTGCTGTGAGGATGTTTTTACACAACAGGTTCTGGTAAATTACAAATGAGAAAAATCCTTGGTGCAAAATTTATACAGCGCTCCAGATTTGGTTGTTGGGATGAAGGTTTTCTATGGGACTTGAAGAAGGTGTGGCTGCTGAGAGGGAAAAACGTGACTAACCAGAAGCCTGGGCTTGAAGCCGAGCATCTCTGCACAGATCTGAGAAAGGCTGTGCTCTGTTGTTCACCATCAAATATGAATGAGACTGAAAGGGGCACGCTACTTTAAAATGGGAAATCCTATTCTATATGTTTTCTAATGAAATTGTAACCCATTAGATAAGTAAATAAATAATTGCTATTTGTTAAAATCCATATTAGTGAGTAATTTCAAACAGTTTCTCTTTACTAGTTTAATAAACTTCCAATCCCAATTAGATTTTATAAAATGATTTACTCTACTCTAAAAACTAAAAGAAACACAACACTAACAAAATAATTCAGTTTATTAATAAAGTGGGCTTTTGTGGAAATGTTATGATCATACCTGTTGTAGACAGCTCTTTGAAAAACAGCAGTTTGGAGAAATATTAATTATTTCTCACTAGATTGACAAGCTAATGGCTCTCCTCAAGCATCAACTTACCTGAGACAGAAGCAAAGCATGCTGGGACATCACAACAACCCTTACATGGACAACAATAAGTTAGGTATTAAATTAAAAAAAAAAAGTGCTTCATGGAAATATCTGGGCAGTTTTCAAAATGGCACTTGTTTTCTTTCAGATTCCTATAATCTGATATTGATATATTGTTATTAAACGTTATGTATTCAGTCTGACCCACCTGGAAAACTGGAGGTATTAGTGGTTTCAGATTACACTGTTTGTATGCAGTGTTCTACAGTATATATTCTGTGGATCAGATTTCATTCTGCCACAGAATCAGACAAACATGCAGGCTGGACCTCAGAGGAGAACCTTGCTGCACACTCAAGTGCTATAAGTGCATTGGAGTCGTCTTACAAGAAACACTTATTGCATTTTGTATTGAGCATGATGTTATGAAAAATTAATACTGCCATGGTGTGTCTTCTTCTTAGAATTTCAGTACGAGACTCCGTGTCCATTCATATGTATCTAACTGTATGTGTACTGTCTCACTCTTTGTATTCATGTTTACCCAAATGCTGGGGTTTAAAACATGTGGTTGCATGCAGGTGCAAGCCAGGCAGGGTCATAGGAGGTAATGTCTTTCAGTTGTATGCAGATTTCTGAGGTTTACATCACCAGTGAATCCAGAGCTGATTCCCAGCTGCATTCCATTTGCTGCATTTGGTCACTTTATTTCCCCTTGGTTAGCACATATATCGACTCCACTATTGACAAAACAATAGGACAAAATACTCTCTTAAGGTAAATTGATACATGTACAGAAAAATTAAAAATTGGTCTATTTTTAAAAGAAAGTTATCTTTATGAATCTTTCTTTAGCATAGCCCATTTTCCCATCCCTACATGGATTCATTTAATTTAGAAAATTAATGCAGCCAACCTGTACTCTTTAAATTACAATGGATTATTTTGATTGGATCAAAGCAATCTTATAAACCGGATTGCCCATGAAAGAACTGTTCTGGTCGGCCTTATTTAATGCATGTTTTCAAATCTGTGCAAGATTAGAGGCTTTTGAAATCTTGCTGTCCACATTTGTGTTTTAAAGAGCATTTTCTGCTTAAACTTGTCAGTTACATCCTTTAAGATACAGTTTATCATTTGTGTATATTCATGCAAAGTAACATATATAGCATATTTTGGAGGAGGTCAGCTTAAAGGTGAAATGCTAATAAACATTTCTTATGAAATCACACACATGGATCAAAAGTTTCATAATGTGATAATTCCGTTTATGTCAACAAACTTGCTTCAAGTCTTTTTTTGCCTTTTGAAATACTCTTTAATCCCTCCAGGATAGCAGTGATGATTCCACTGTGTACCCTTGACCCAATGAAATGTAACAAGAAGGACTACTGCAGCCCACCATGGAGTATGTCAAAGGTCATGGAGTAGGCAGTGTGCTGTGAAACTGTAAAGATGTACTATTGTGCTGTATGATACACAGTCATGCATAACA